GAAATTAAGGAAATGAAAAACAACAGAGAGGATTAACAAAATGCAATAATATTTCTCAAAAACATTAAAAAGGTGAATAAATCTCTGGCAAAATTGATTATGGAAAAGGGTATAAAGTGGCTAAATGATACATTCAAAAATGAGCAAATTATTTCATCAGGAAGGAAGACAAAACCCCCAAGTGACTAATAAACAGAAGAGAATATTCTTAGTCCTATTGGCAATAAGAATTGTAAACTCAAATAATAGTGCAATACCACTCCCCACCCATCAAAGTTGGCAAAAAATACAAAGATTCAAAATACCAAGCTTGGCAAAGATGTATTACTATTATATCTGGAGTACTCATATACCACAGGTATATATAGTATGCACAAATTGGAAAGCAGCTAGGCAACATTCAGTAAAGATGAAGATCTGCACGCTCTACAACCTAGCAGTTCCACTCCTTGATGTGGTACTAGAGAAGCTCTCACACGTGTGAGCAACAAGACAAGATATACAAGAATGTCCATCATGGCATTGTTTGTAAGGACAACAAGTGAAAGAAAGTGAAGATCATCACTAGGATAGTGGTTGAAGTGTGACAATTCAACTAACAATATTTATATCCAGATGGTTAAGCATCAGAAACATTTAACTTTTGGAGAAGAAAGTTGCAGAAGAATATATGTGATACATTCATATGAAGTTTGGAAACATGCAAAAAGTACTTGATGTTGTTTATCAGTTTTCTTCTATGTGGTACACATTTCAAAATGTCATGGAAATAATATAATAAACAGAAAAGTCAGCATGGTGTTTCTGAGAAGAGAAAGAAAATTGTCTTGGGTGAGTGTGCGTAGGCATTAATTGTATCTGTCCTTTTTTAAAAAATACTCTTTAAAGCATATATATCTCTAAGAAATTACCATTCAACAAAGCTGAATGATGAATATATACATGTTAGTGTATTATTGTACTTTTCTTTATGTTGGAGATATTTCATAATATTTTTAAGATAATGCTTTGTAAAATAGCTTTATGAAAGAATAGTGGAACTTTGAACTAAGTTATTTTTCTAGAGTAAGAGAATGGACTTCTTTTTAGAACAAATACAATTGGACTGTTATTGTTTACCTCTCAACACCCCCACCTCCAACCCCTTAATCCTCACCCTTAAAAACACCCACACAATTATACCTTTTAACACAAGGAAACTGAAACCTTTAAGTGATTAAAAAAAAAAAAAAAACCTTTATGGGAGCAACTGACTTTCATTTGTAAACCTTAAACATATATGCAAGGGAAAAAGTAAATTTATTGACAGTCTGTAAGATAAGGAAAGACACAACGAAAATTCAATGTAGCAAGAACCACAAGTATCACAAGATATTGGCCTCAATCTCCCCCATTAAGGCTTAATGTTTTTATTTTTCAAAACAGAAATAACTTTATTCTTTTTCTGATTTAAAATAATGTATATTCTGGCCAGGTGTGGTGGCTCAAGCCTGTAATCCCAGCACTTTGGGAGGCCGAGAAGGGCGAATCACGAGATCAGGAGATCGAGACCATCCTGGCTAACACGGTGAAACCCCGTCTCTACTAAAAAAAATACCAAAAACTAGCGGGGCGTGGTGGCGGGCGCCTGTAGTTCCAGCTACTCGGGAGGCTGAGGCAGGAGAATGGCACAATCCCGGGAGGCAGAGCTTGCAGTGAGCTGAGATCCGGCCACTGCACTCCAGCCTGGGCGACAGAGCGAGACTCCATCTCCAAAAAATAAAAATAATAATAATAATAATAATAATAATGTATATTCTTTTAAAAAACTCCACACTGAAAAATAAAATAACCTATTATTTCACCATCCTGTAATAATCACTGTAAATATTTTAATATATATTTTAATTCATATATATAATGTTTGCCAATAGAATCACACTCTATATTTTTGCTTTTAAATTGCTGTTTATGTTATATCTTGGAAATGTTATATCTCAGGTTCCCATGTTAAGAAAAAAATCAATCACATCTCTTTTAATGGCTCATAGTATTATCCTGTATAGTCATGCCGTGATATATTTTAACCAAACTGCTTATATGCAACACTGCAGTGAACACAATGCATATACATCTTTGAGTACTTCTCCATTTGTTTCCTTGAGATACGTTCCTTGCTGGACCAAAGGAATGCATAAAAAATAGTAAGACTTTTCGTACTGTATCAGTAAGAGTTTTCCAAAAAGGCCAGCAGGCTGGAACTCTAGCAGAAGCTGATGCTGCAGTGTTGAGGCAAAATGTCTTCTTTTTCAGAAAACCTTAGTTTTTGCTCTTAGGGCCTTCAGCTGCTTGTATGAGACCCACCCACATATCGAAGATAATCTCCTGTACTTAAAGTCAACTGATTATAGATGTTCACCATTTCTACAAAATACCTTCTCAGCCACATTTAAATTAGTGTTTGATTAAATAACTGGATACTATAGCCTAGTCGTGTTAACACATTAAAAAAGTGAATAAACCTCTGACAAAATTGATCATAGAAAAGGGTACAAATGATGAAATGATACATTAGAAAATGAGCAAACTACTTGATCAGGAAACTCACAGAAAAGAAAACTTCAAATGTTTATCGAATATAAGGGAAAATTCTCAGTCGTATTGTAATGGGAACTCAAATAACAGTGAGAACATTTCCCATTCATCAAAATTGGCAAAAAGAAAAAAAAAAAAAGAACATAACCACACTTGCGAAAAATGCACTACATCTTTGTACCTATGTACTGTGATGTACGTAAAGCATGAGTATATCACAGAACCTGTTGCCAGATGACCTTCCATAAAGACCGCACCAGTTTTGATTTGGTCCCCACACTGTGTACTGGTAACCATTTTCATTTTTGCTAATCTAATCAGTATATTTTCTAATTAAGTATTATATTTGTGTTAATTTTCAGTTTTAAATCCACAATTTGTCCTGCAACTTAGCAGTCTCTAACATAGTAATTTTCACAATGACTTACACCTTTTACTTTGTACAAGAGCAGAGATGAGCAGAGAAAAAGAGCTCTGCTTTTCTCTGAATAGAAAATATATTTTCTCCTTTTGAAAGTAACAATGTTGATCTCTGCATCTTACACCTGTCATTACCCCAAACCTGTCTTTCTGGCCTCAGGTACAGAGAGTTGATGTGAAAATAAAAAAGAGCAGTCATCTTTTACCCATTTTTCTACCATGTGTTCTGAGTTTTCCCTGTTGGTTTATAGTTCTTTATATTTCTGATGTGAGTTGTTGATTGAATATATGCTTTGCATACATCTTCTCTTAGTCCGTTGCTTTGCCTTTTTTACTTTCTTCATGATACCCTTTAAATGACGAGAATTCCTTGATTTTAATGTAGCCCATATTTTCTGTTTCTCATAATTAGTTTATTTTGGGGTCCTATTGAAATAATCACTGTCTATTGAAAAGTACTATGTTTCCCTAGTTTCATTTTATGTTTAAAAACAGAAAAAGGAAATAGTTAACATTAACCAAGCCCAGGTAACAGAGAGAGACCCTGTCTCTACAAATAATTTTTAAAAATTAGCTGAGCATGGTAGCATGCACCTGTGGTCCAGCAATTCAGGAGGTTGAGTGGGAGGATCACTGGGTCCCCAAGGGTGGAGGCTGCAATGAGCCATAATCATGCCACTCTCCTGCAGCCTGGGTGACAATGTGAGACCCTGTCTCAAAAAAAGAAAAAAAAAAATACACTAACAAAACTATTGTCCATGGACTCTGTGTTGTAGGATATTTTGCAATTTAGATGTATATCCACCAAACAGCCTTTTCTCCTGCTGGAAACAGAACCTCCCTCTATCTCTGTTGGGGGACCTCTAAGAGCCTGCCTGTTGTAGCACCTAATGTTCTTTGCTGCATACATGAGCTCTTGACCCAATCTGGGCTAATGAAACATTCCCCATTTACAGTATTTTGTTCAAATGTGGCCTTGTGATCCAAGCAGACACACTCAGGGAGGTGACTTCAGAGCATCTATGGTTCTAGTAAGACTTTAGCACAAGGAAATGAGGCCAATTCCAAAAGACAAGAATTAAGAGGCAGAGCAGATCTTGGCAATGTTGTCACTGGCTGCCCAAAATTTACTCTATCCTGGCCCTGCCTGAGGTTTTCATTATGTGGCCACTAAATTCTCAACTTTTAATGATTTTTTTTTAAATTTTTGTATTTTGTTATTTATTAATTTTTTCTTTTTTTTGAGATGTAGTCTTGCTCTGTCACCCAGGCTGGAGTGCAATGGCACGATCTCGGCTCACTACAACCTCTGCCTCCCAGGTTCAAGCAATTCTCCTACCTCAGCCTCCCGAGTTGCTGGGACTACTGGTGTGTGCCAACACGTCTGGCTCATTTTTTGTATTCTTAATACAGATGGGGTTTCACCGTGTTAGACAAGATGGTCTCAATCTCCTGACCTCGTGATCTGCCTGCCTCAGCATCCCAAAGTGCTGGGATTATAGGCATGAGATCTTTTTTTACTTTGTTAAAAGTCTTGGTATAAATATGCTTGAAAACGTGGTCCGGTGTTTATGTAAATCTAGGACTACTCCTAATCTTACTCTTGGAGATTTATAGCCTACGTTAGCATATTAAAAGTCATAAGAAACCATGAAATAAAAGAAGGCTATTTATCTTCTTAATAGGCTAGTAATCCCAAACATATCAACACGAATACTTATTTTTGGTGCTTATATTAATATCTTATAGAAACTTGAGCAGCAAATCATTGTTTTGGGGAATACTGGATCTTAGGCATAGAAGAACCAACAAATGCAAGCTGACAAACGAAAGATGCTTTAATCTCCGAGCTAGGTTTTGAAAAATGCTGAAATTTAATAATTTATATGCAAATTATGTTATATTTTTAATTGGGAAAAGAGTATTTTGATAAAGAAAAAAACAAAAGTTAAATTTGGTAAATTTAATGTGACCAATCTATAAACTTCTTTTTTTTTTTTCTCGAGCAGGTTAGCCAATATACCTTTGCTATGTGCAGTTACAGAGAAAAAAAGTCTGAACCACAAGAATTAATGCAACTTGAAGGCTATACTGTGGATTATACCGATCCCCACCCAGGTAACTCTTAATTGAATCACTTTCCCTGCCATGTATATATGCATGGAATTCTTATAAATATCCTGTGTCTGTTCTACAATTTAAACCCCTCTCGATGAATAGGGTGCATATTTCACTTATATATCTGGGCAAGACTTTATGAGATTCAAATTATCTCTTTTGGAGTGCTTTTATTCTTAACCATATTTCATCATATTTATTATTATTTTGGCATGAGGTTGAGATGTGTAAAAGTCACTGTAATTGAATAATTATATGAGATATAACAATGTTTTTAGAAACTTCTTTGCTGGAAAGCAAAAGTTATAGCAGAAATAGACAGACAAATGGCAAATGAATTATTATATTGTAACTACTAATTTTCTCTCTAACAATACATTTTTGTACTTATCTCTCTCCCTTCATGTTAATACTGGAAAGAGTACTGGTCACCTCATATTTTAAAATTGAATGAATGAATATTAATGACAATATCTAAGATCAAGAAATGCAGACATTAATAAACATAATGATTAAATATTGGTGAATAGAGATTAAGAAATAGAAATTTATGACCATATTAACTAATTGTTCACTTAAAATGCAAAATATCTTCTGTGAAAGAATTTTATAAAAGATAAAATACATGCAATATGAAATATCATTTTTGTCTTAATCATTATATATTTTTCCCACGTATAGAATGGCAAATATGCCGACAGATAAAACTTCTTTCTCTGGCATGAAATATCAGATTGTGCTATGCATTTCCATGGAGTGTGTTTACATATCTTGTAGAATGCTGCTGTGTTGTGGACTGTTTCCCTAGATTATTTCTTATTTCTAAGGTGATATGGGAGCTTAAGCCTTTTTGTTATTTTCTTCAAATCTTGGATTGTGGATTTGATCCTTTAAGCTAAATATTGTTTAAAACATTTAACTGTTAATATCAAATCCATTCTTTTCCATGAGGTCAGTTAGTGAATGAGACTAAAATCTGCCAATCCTATAAATTTTTAATGATGTCTTTTTGTTCCCTCCACAGGCCTTCAGGGTGGTCGTATGTTCTTTAATGCTGTTAAAGAAGGAGATACTGTAATCTTTGCCAGTGATGATGAACAGGACAGAATATTATGGGTTCAAGCCATGTATAGAGCCACAGGTCAATCATATAAACCAGTTCCTGCAATTCAAACCCAGAAACTGAATCCTAAAGGAGGAACTCTCCATGCAGATGCTCAGCTTTGTAAGTTTTGTTAAAAAATAATTTTATTATCAATTAATAGCTTTAATAAGATATAAAATTGAGGCAAATTTGTTCGGTATTATAGTTTACATCATTAATTGATTCCTAATTAAATGAAAATAGTTCATATTAGTAGTCATATAATCACTTATCTAATTTTTCACATAAATCTGGAGTAAATGGTACATGTGGTTTCCAATCGTGGATTTGTCAAGCATTAGGGTATTTCTCAAAATCTCAAGAGCACATAAGAAAATTCTCCAAAACTTCTCAAAGGAAAATTTATTTTAGTTTATTATGATTTTGACTTAAGTCTCCTATAGACATGGAAAAAATATTGCAAAATCAAATTTGCTTTGATACGATTTCAGAGTACCAAAATGATGAACCATTACCTTCTAGAGTTGTTCTTAATGACCCAGAAGGATAATAGGTCTATTTTTTTTTGTTGTAGATTGATACAAATAATAAGTCATAAAGCCAACTTTTTTCCCCTCATGACTTAAAGACATGTCAATTTTGAATGCTAACTTAAGTTGTAAAGAGCTAAATTTTTTATTTTAAATGACTGATGTTTAATAATTATGGAATGATGGTCAAAACATCTTCAAACATAGCTTTGATAATCACTAAACCAAGTGTTTTAACTTGTTATACTCCTTTACAAAGCTTATCCTGTTTTACCTGTAATAAATATTTGTCTTTAACTTTCAGCTCAACTTGTGGTTTTTTTATTCTTGAGATTCTTCTCAAAGGGAATAACATCTTGACATGCATTATTTTCTTCTGCTTTTCATGCATCAAGTAACTATTCTCTTTTCTTTTCAGATACCCTTCAGTATCATTTCTGGGCATCCTAAACAAAGGCACTTTAGTTCAAATAATTAAATGTGAACCATGAGCTTTTTCTTTATCTTAGAAACCACAGACCATACTCATAGGTTATCGTAATTAGTTTGGGGCACATTTTTTATATGTAGTGAAAACTATTTAGGAATATTATATATTGATTTTTTCCCTGATTTAAAATTTCTTCTTTAAAATTAGTAGCATTGTCATCTTAAAAGGTAAAATAAAATAAAAAGAGCACATTCTGATATTTTCACTGTATTTAAAAATTTAACTCGCTGCTTCTGCCTTCTTCTCACCCTCCAGGTAATATGCATAGAGTATGGCACAGCAGATAAGAGTGTTTCATCAGAGCTAAGGTGTACAGAAGTGTCTTTATTTTTCTACAATTGAGCATATCTGAAATTTTAATTTCTAATGTTGCCAAAAAACTTTAACTCACCAATTCAAAACAACTGAGTCACAGATTAAAATTCAATTAATTCAAGATTCTTCCCCCCGCTCTTCTTCCATGTGATCCATAGTAAATTAAGTTTCAGAAGGGATTACATAAAACAGTGATATCATTGAATGTAGCATCTAGTCTAAAACTGTTCTCTGTTCACATGGCCTTAGGCATGACTTCTGTCACTGGTTTCATTACTTATGTGCTGGTGTGCACTGCTCATCACCATGGACCTGCCAGGACACCTGGTAATGAAGTCCACATAGTTTGTGTCCTCCTTGGATCAACTCCAGACACCTATGAATTCCTTACATCATATTCATCAGATTCTCGCCACAGTGGTACATAGTGACTTGTTGGGTATTCCCCACCTATGCACAGGGGTGCTCACTCAGGCATTTCTCTCGCAGCACAGCTCTTACCCATTGCTTCTTTCCTACTTCAAGTGCCAGATTGGACATTTATTCCTGGGCTGTTCCTGCATTGGGCATCAAAGTATAAGACTCCCTCAACCCTAGGTCCAACTTTCTTCCTCTGGAGCTCTGTTCATTGCTCACCCCCAACACAACATTAACTCACGTCAGATCTCTTCCCAAAACCATTTTCTTCCATCCAGCTGATCTATTTTTTTCCCTCCTAGTTTCGATTCTTGTTGTTAAAAACCAAGTTTTTATAAATTTGTTTCTTTCCACTCCATAGGCTAATCTCTGTCCCTTCCCCTGTAAGCTACAGTTCTATAGTATTTAATGTGAATTTCCTGTGTTTTTCATTTTGCAAATTTGCATTTTGTATATGTGCATTTAGCGTCAATCTCATAAATGGTTTCATATTCTTTATCATATTCAGTCTTACTGTTTTTGTTCATCTCTATGCTTTTAAAATTCGTCCATGTTTTTATGAATACATCTAATCTCATTCTTCTGATTACTGCATACCATGTAAGTGGGCTTCTGTCTTATGTTACCTAGTCTACAGCACATTTTATTTCTATTCACTCCTCCAGAGATGGAAATGTAGAATGTCTCCAAATCCATACCTGTGTAATGTTCAGTTGTCCCAGCCATGACTATGAAATATCCTTTCATTTATTCAAATCTAAGTCCTTTACATTTTAATCCTTTTCAATAGAGCTGTTTTTATTCTTGGTTAAGCTAATTTCTAAGCCTTTCATACTTTTGTTGCTATTGCATCTTATATTTTTATTATATTTTCTAGTTGACTATTGCTTATATAGAGAAATGCTATTTTCATGTGCTTTTTTGCTTCAGTTCAGGAGTTCAAGATCAGACTGGGCAACATGGTGAAACCCTGTATCTAGAAAAAATACAAAATTAGATGGGCACAGTGGTACGTGACTGTAGTCCCAGCACTTGGGAGACTGAAGTACTTCAGCTTTTTTGCTATCCATATTTATTCTTTGGTTATGTATCTCTGCACGTACCTTGCCTAATTTATAATTAGGCTATTATTGAGTTTTGAGAAGTGTTTACACAGGCATGCCTTGGACATATTGTGGGTTCAGTTCCAGACCACTACAATAAAATGAATATCGCTTGAACCCAAGAGGTGGAGGTTGCAGTGAAATAGCGCCTCTGTGCTCCAGCTTGGGTGATAGAGTGAAACCCTGTCTCAAAAAAAAAAAAAGTTATGTTTACACTACATTGTAGTGTATTAAGCATGCACTAGCATCATGTCTAAAACATAATTTTAAAATTCTTTATTGCTAAAAATACTAACAATCACCTGAGGGTTCAGTGATTATAATATTTTTGCTGGTAGAGGGTCTTGCCTCAACGTTGATGGCTGCTGACTGATCAGGTTGGTGGTTGTTGAAGGTTAGGGTGGATGTGGCAATATCTTAAAATAAGACAAGGATGAAGTTTGCTGCAGTGACTGATTCTTCCTTTCACAAAAGATTTTCCTGTAGTATGCGATGCTGTTTGCTATCATTTTGCCCAAAGTAGAACTTCTTTGAAAATTGGAGTCAATCCTCTAAAACTTTACCTCTGCTTTATGAACTAAGTTTATATAAGATCCTAAATCCTATGTTGTCCTTTCAACAATGTTCACAGCATCTTCACCAGAAGTAGATTCCATCTCAAAAACCACTTCCTTTGCTTCACCCAAAGGAACCAACTTCTTATCTGTTCAAGTTTTATCATGAGATTGCAGCAATTCAGTCACATCTTCAGGCTCCACTTTTAATTCTGGTTCTTTTGTTGTTTTCATGACATCTACAGTGACTTCCTCCACTCAAGTCTTCAGTCCCTTAAAGTTATCCCTGAGGGTTGGAATCAACTTCCTCCAAACTCCTGTAAATGTTGATATTTTTACCTCCTCCCAAGAATCACAGATGTTCTTAATGGCATTTGGAATGGTGAATCCTTTCCAGGTTTTCAATTTACTTTTCCCAGATGGCTCATAGGAATCACTATCTATGGCAGCTATAGCCTTTTAAAATGTATTTCTTAAATAATAAGACTTGAAAGTTGAAATTACTCCTTGATCTGTGGGCTGCAGAATGGATGTTAGGTTAGCAAGCATGAAAACAACATTAATCACCTTGTACATCTCCAGCAGAGCTCTTGAGTAACTAGATGCAGTGTCAGTGAACAATAATACTTCGACCAGATTCTTTTTTTCTAACATCGGGCCTCGACAGTGGACTTAAAATATTCAGTAAACTGTGCTGTAAACACATGCACATCATCTGGGCTTGTTCTTTCAGTTGTAGAGCACAGACAGGGTTGATGTAGCATAGTTTTGAAGGGCTCTGGGATTTTCAAGATGGTTAATAACTATTGGCTTCAACTTAAAGTTATCAGCTGCATTAGCCACTAACAAGGGAGCCTGTACTTTGAAGCTTTGAAGCCAGGCATTGACTTCTCTCTAACTGTGAAAGTCCTAGATGGGCATCTTCTTCCAATAGAACATTATTTTGTCTACACTAAAAATCTGTTATTTAGCATAGCTAACTTCATCAATGATCTTAGCTGGATCTTTTGGATAACTTGCTGCCATTTCTGCATCAACCCTTGCTGCTTCACCTTGCACTTTCATGTAATAGAGATGGCTTATTTTTCTTAGCCCTCGTGAGCTGACCTCTGCTGGCTTGACAGCTTGCAGAGGCTTCTTCACCTCTCTCAGCCTTCACAGAATTGAAGAAAGGCAGGGTCTTGCTCTGTATTAGGCTTTGGTTAAAGGGAATATTGTGGCTGGTTTGATCTATCCAGATCATTCAAACTTTCTTCATACCAGCAATAAGGCTGTTTTTGCTTTCTTATTATTTGTGTGTTCACTGGAGTAGCAATTTTCATTTACTTCAACAACTTTTCCTTTGCATTCACAACTTGGCTACTTGATGCAAAAGGCCTAGCTTTCAGCCTGTCTTGGCTTTTGACATGCCTTGCTCACTAAGCATGATCATTTGTAGCTTTTAAATTTAAAGTGAGGGAGACGGGATTCTTTCATTCATTTGAACAGTTAGAGATCATTTCGAGTTATTAGTTAGCCTAATTTTAATATTGTTGTGTCTCAAGAAATAGGGAGACCCAAGAAAAGGAAGACAGATAGGGAACAGTCAGAACACATATAACATTTATTAAGTTTACCATCTTATATGGGTGTAGTTTGTGGCACCCCAAAACAATTAAAATAACATCAAAGATCACTTTTCACAGCTGACTATAATAGATATACTAATAATGAAAAAGTTGGAAATACTGTGAGAATTACCATAATGTGAAACAGAGTCATAAAATGAGCATGTGTTGTTAGAAAAGTGGCACCATAGACTTGCTTGTCACAGGGTTGCCACAAACTTTCAATTTATGAAAAACACATCTGCAAAGCACAATAAAATGAAGTTTGCCTGTGTGTTCTGGATACAGCATGTTTGTCAGATATGTGATTTGCAAATATTTTCTCCTAATCTATGGCTTGTCTTTTCACATCTCTTAATAGTGACTTTCAGAAAAAAAAAAAAAGAAATTCTTAATTTTGATGAAGTCCATTTTATCAAATTTTTTCATAGATGTGCTTTTGATGTTGTAACTAAAGGATCTTTGCCCAACCCAAATTGCAGAAATTTTCTCCTTTGCTTTCTTCTAGAAATTTTACAGTTTTGGCTTTTACATTTTACAACCATTTTGAGTTAATTTTTGTATACGGTGAGAGGTATCCATCAGTATTTATGGATGGCATATGGATGTCCAGTTGTTTTAACACAAAGAGTTGAAAAGATTGTCATACCCTGAATTGCCCTTGCACATTTGTGAAAAATCAATTAACTACATATGAGTTTATTTCTGGGCTATCCTTTCTTTTCCTTTGGTCAGTTTATCTATCTTAATATTATTACTACACTGTCTTGATTACTGTAGCTTTGTGAATCTTACAGTCAGGTAGTCCAAGTCCTCCAAATTGATTTCTCTTATTCAAAAATATTTTGGCTGTTCTATGTCCTTTGCATTTCTCTATGAATTTTCAAAATAAATTTACTCATTTTTAATTGACAAATAATTGTGTATATATATGAGGTACAATATAAATTTTTAAAACATCTTGACATTCCTTGCTGGAGATTTTACTGGGAATGCCTTTGGTCAGTCAGTCCGTGGAAAATTTTGGAAAACTGACTTCTTAATATTGAGCCTTCCAATCTGTGAATACAATGTGTCACTTCATTTGTTTAGGTAGTCTTTAGTTTCTCTTTGGTATGTTTGTAGTTTTAAGTAAACAGATCTTGCACATCTTTTGTCAGATTTATTTCTAGGTATTTCATCTTTGTTGCTTTAGTAAAATGGAATTTTTTATTTCAGCCCAATTGTTTTGTTATCTTTGTGATTACTTTAGAATTTAAAGTATACACTTTAAATTTATTATACATCTTCATGTATAGTATGCAAACTTTACAGTAGTAAACTTCTATTTCTTCTCTTGACTTTTGCACTATTCTTGTCATATATTTTACTTCTATATATGATGTAAATCCCACAATACATTGCTATTATGATTATTACCTTAGTCAATATGTTTTAAAGAAATTAAAAGTGAAAGAAAAATGTTATGTAGATGTCCATTTTGTTCATGTCCATTATGTACATGTTACATACATGTACATTACCATTCCCACTGTCTTTCATCGTCTAGCGCATATATTTTTACTTCTTGAAGGACCTCCTTTGACTTTTCTTGTAGTGCAGATCTGCTGGTAATGAATACTTTTAGCTTCTTTATATATGAAAAAGTCTTTATTTTACTCTCATTTTAAAGATATTTTTCTTTTAGTACTTTAAAGATGTTGCTCCACTTTCTTCTAGCTTGCATTTGTTTTTCCAATGAGAAATGTGCTATTTTGGTTTGTTCCTCTATAAATAATGTCCTTTTTTCCTCTAACTGCTTTAAAGATTTTTCTCCTTAACACTGTTTTTGAGCAATTTGATTATGATGTGCCTTGGTATACTTTTCTTCATAAAAATGCTTGTTCTGAGACACAGTTAAGTTACTTGGAAACAATTCGATCCTTTCAAGCTTTGCTTTCAAGTTTTATTAGGGAAAACCAAGCAGTGTTTAGTCCAGGATGCATTTTCCCGGTTTCTGGACCAACATTATTCTTAATACTCTAACTGATAACCTGTGAATTATGAGCTTTTATATTCTTGCTGCTGAGAAGCAGTGCTATTCTAGGCTGTGTGAGTTTGGGACACTATCCTCTTGAATCCTTTAGATTGCTTCTTTCCCTTTCTACACGTGCATGAACTGATGGGTAGTCAGCTGAATTCTTGGGGGGGGTCTTCTCTTTCCGGGCAACTCTCTTCTCTCCAGTACTCTTTCCTACAACCTCTAGTTACTGTGGCCCTCCTGAATTGTCAGCTCCATTTTTCAACTCAGGGAGACCACTGGGCTTTTCCTGAGTTCCTGTTCCTTGTGCCGTGAGCTATAGAGTTTCTCCTGGCAGTAACCTGGGGTAACTGTAAGGCTCACCTTGTTTCCCATCCCTCAGGAATCACTCTCCCGTGTTGCCCAACATGTAGTGTTTAAGAAACTTTTTGTAAATTTTTTTTCAAAAACTTAGTTCAGGTAGGAGGTTAAGTTTATTCTCAATTATACCATCATGACCAGAAGCAGAATGAATTTTTTATAAGTTAAAGCATGGTTTCTCAATTTCAGCACTATTGACATTTTGGGCTAGACAATTATTTGTTCTGGGGCAAGGAGTGGAGTAAGGAACTTTTCCTGTGCATTATGTGATGTGTTACAGCATCCCTGTCCTCTACCCACTAGATATCAGTAGTCTCCCACCTGGTCCCAGGTCAGACAACCAAAAATATCTGTGGACATTGCCAAATGTCCCAGAGGGTAGGGTTGCTGTTGGTGAGGAATCACCTCCAGTTGAAAAACCCAGAATTACAGTGACTTAATAGCTATTTTTTTTTTAATTGTCACCCTCCTTCACTTGTGTTCCCTTATTTTTTCTTAACATCCTGAGTACAAGGAATTCCCAAGGAATGTTTTGAGCTCATGGCTATTGTTGCTTGCACATAGTGGCAAGAAAAGTGGGTAGGAACCACTAGCACAGACCTTTAAGACCATGGCTGAATAATACAGAATTTTTTTGGGCAGAGTCTGCCTCTGGAGAGAGAGGGAGTGCAGTGGTGCCATCTCACCTCACTGCAACCTCCATCTCCCAGGTTCAAGCCATTCTCATGCCTCAGCCTCCCAAGTAATCTCAGCAGCTGGGAGTACAGGTGTGTGCCACCACACTCACCTAATTTTTGTATTTTTAGCAGAGACAGAGTTTCTCCATGTTGGCCAGGCTGGTCTCAAACTCCTGACCTCAGGTGATCTGCCAGCCTCGGCATGCCAAAGTGCTAGGATTACAGGCATGAGCCAATGCACCTGCCTTTGACAAATTAAAAAAAAAAAAAAAAAAAAAAACCTTTCTATTATTCAATATAAATTTATTGTCAAGGCAGAATCAATCAGGCTATGAGATTCCCATGCCTCAGCCTCCCAAATAGCTGGGATTCACCTGCCTAATTTTTGTCTTTTTAATAGAGATGGAGTTTCTCCACATTGGCCAGGCTGGTCTTGAACGCCTGACCTCAGGTGATCTGCCATCAGGGAGGACACTTCGGCCTCCCAAATTGCCGGGATTACAAGCGTGAGCCACAGCGCCCAGCCCTATAATCTGTTTCTAACAAAACCTTTCTATTATTTGTTATCAATTTATTGTCAAGGCAGAATTGATCAGGCTATAGGAACTGAATTCACTTGTTATAACGAAAAAGCCAAACTGTTTCAATTTGTTAACAACAACTGACTTCTGTTCCAGACTACTAGTAAAGTGTTTAATCAGTGCTGACCTCTGCTGGCGTGAAACTGGGAGGCGGAGCTTGCAGTGAGCGGAGATCGCACCACTGCACTCCAGCCTGGGCAACAAGCAAGGTTCCATCTCAAAAAAAAAAAAAAAAAAAAAAAAAAAAAAGAAGGAAAAGAAAAGAAAAGAAAAGAAAAGAAAGGAGGAAGAAAGAACATGTTCTACCTCATCAGAATGAGAATACTGACCCTGACCTATCAGAGAAACGTCATGAATTACTCCAGAGAGTAGTTTCATCCATAGTATTTTCCTCCCTCCATTGACTTAATCAATTTTGTTTTCTTTCCTGATGATCTTTCAGAAAAACAACTTTTAAAATCACTAGTAGAAATTGAGAAAACAAAATAAAAATTTAAATGTCTAGTTGGATAAATGTATATGTTCCCAACCCATTTAAATATGCTTTGTTTCTCATTTCTTTGCTGACCTGTAGCTGGTAAAGGTAAGTATTTTCATGATTTTTAAAATCAGATATTTTTAAAATTTTTTAATGATACAATGTTTGAGGAATATCATGATCTTGTTTACTTAGCTTTATTGATTACAAAACAAAAAATGTCTATCACAACAAAAAAGTAGAAACAACCTAGTATCTACCATTCATACAGGAACAAGGGTAATAGCCACGAAGGTGTTGTAATAACATGCAAAACAAATGGTCAATATATGTTAAGTGGAAAAAATGCTAAATTACACATGTAGTATTATTTTCACTACATAAAAAGAACCCAATTGAAAAAGCAAAATATAGGTAGAATTACATCTAAGAAATTCAGTGGATATGTTTTGTTGGAGGCAATAGTTGCTACTTTATTTCTTCTATATTTTATTTTTCTTTGAAGTATGTATCTTTATTTTTCACAAACCCAGTGCTTTAGAATGAACTATGAATCTTAAAACTTAAAAAAGAATCTTATTTTAAAAAAAAATCTAAGCATACAAATAACTAAGAAAAATAAAATATTATAAAATCTAACTTACTGGAAGACAACCTTATCTTTTTGAGACATTACGAATATATATTTATAGGTTTCTCTAATAAGCAAATCTATTCCACTTCATTTTTTCTTTGAGTCTCTGGATATATAAAAATTCTAAGGGAAGAGAGTGAGCTGAAGGGGTGGGGATGAGGCTGGTAAACAATTTTTTCACTTCAAATATAACGTACTAGAGTTGCCAGATTGACGGACATTCTTTGGTTAAACTATCCTTCTTTGTTCTCTCCAACCAAAGTGCAGTGCACGCACCCTGGTTTTCACTGTCTCTCAGTTACATATGTAACATAATACAATGTGTGTGTCACATAATACAATATGAGTAGTAGTATTTGTCTTCCAGTAATAAATTAATATCAAAAATGAACCAAAAAGCTGCCAGCTGCTTTTTATTTTTAAGCTAAATATTTTTAAATTCTTAAATTGAAATATAAACTGACAGTTAATTTTGTGAACTTATTTTCATGATTGATCTAATATGTTAAATTTCACACTTCATAGGGAAGCATTTGTCTTTCCTTTACATTGAACACATTATTTCTAATAAATCTTCAACATTGGTTTACTTTACTTATTTGTGATTATAAGTTTCTGTGTTGATCAAAATTGCCATCATGCAAAAGTATTACTTATGTGTTATTTGCTGCAGAAAGCAAGATATGTTAATTCATATATCAGGTTTTGAATCAATTTAACCAAAAGAAGCTAAGCAGTTATTTGGGTCAATAATAGAGGTGTGAACAAACTCCTTTGCTTTTCAGCAGAAAGTATGTATACATAAAACATGGACATACTATTCAGGCTGATCTAGATAAAATTTTAAATATTAAACTTTTCCTATTAAAACCTACATGGATGGTATAAAAAGAGAAGTGGCACCTACTTTGCTGTGCCACTTCTAACTTCGTGTAAATTTTCAAGCTTTATGGGAGTTTTGAATTATAATAAGTGTATAATCAGATGTGAGTAGTTGTAAATGCAGCTACAGGTGAACTCCTAAACATAGGCCAGTTTTAAACATAGGACAGTAAATTGTATTATATTTCAAAAGGGTCATTTGCTGCTTAGTTCAGCTCAGTATTTTGCAGAGAGCAGTCTTGGCTGACAGCACCCTCTTAGTCCTTTTGATACTAGAGTTCCACTCCTAGACACCAGAGTGACCTCGGAATGCTAATAAATGGCTTCCTTTTCTCATCCAGAGTGCCCTTTTACATTTTTCTTTCCTTTTTCCTTTTTCATCCATGATTTCTCACAACACTAGGAGCAGCAACAAATGCAGTACCATGAGAATTTGTTACAAAGAAAAAAGAATTATTTCAATTTTTTTTTCAATCTCCCTGACTTAGATGACTTCAGTTCTCTCTGACTTAGATGCCTTTCCTGGGATTTGGATTCTTGAGCACTTAAGGGGCAGGTTGCGGTCAGTGCCCACCAAAAAGCTCTCTCACCACAGTGGGATCTACTAGCTCACTGATAGTCCTCATATCATTTTCTATGCTACCTATTTTCAAGTCTGTATTACCTATTTAAGTTGATACTGTCAGCCTACTTATTCTTTCCTCTTAACTTCCAACAGCTATTATCCTAATGAAAAAATTCAATTTTTAGGTTTCACTTACATAAAGCCTCTATAACTTCTTAGATCTATAGCAAATAATAATCTTTCTCAATTTGGGTTTCATTCCATCTACTGTTATCACACCTGGTGACAGTACTGCCTAAAGACGCTCGAGCATATATCCAACTGTTGCCATAGAAACTCCATCAGTATCCTCAATTACCATGTCCCACATCTGTAGTTAGTCCATAGGTTAATCATCACAATTTATGACAGTTTTGCAGTATACTGCTTAAGCTCATAGCTTGTTGGTTTGTTTTGATAGTTGTCACATTGTTTCAGAAGACAGATTGAACTGAAATTTTCCATTATCAGAGAAATCTGAGTAACATCATGAATAATTTTCTGTTTAAAACTAGTCACCATAATGTTGTGTTATAGTAACATTAATTGCAGATAATCCAGTATAATGCAATTTTAAAGCCTTGGATTTGGTAATTGACTAAAAAGCATGTTTTGCATTTGATATAGATGATGCCTCTGTCTCTCAAGAGTAACATATAGTTATGTTATATCTGTAGAAAGCTATGTGAAAATATATCTTTATAAAAATAAGAAACTAGATAATATTTTAATGATATATGATTTTCTGTTTTGCATTAGTTCATGAGAGAACTTTAAAGTGAAAGATGGCAGGGAGGAAATGGGGAGATGTAGGTCAAAGGATACAAACTAGCAGATGTGTAGGATGAACAAGTCTAGAGATCTAATGTATAACATAACAACTAGAATCTATAAAATTGTACTGTTATTTTTGTTAAGTAAGTAGATTTTAGCTGCCCAGTCACAAAAAAAGCAGCTATGTGAGATGACAGATTTGTTAATTTGCTTCTGTACTGTAACCATTTTACTGTCTATATGTATCCCTTAACATCATGTTGTAAAGCTTAAATATATACACACACACACAATTTTACTACTAAAAAAGCATTTCAGTAGTATTACATCTGTTTCACTCCTCCTAGCTTTGATGGTATTGTTGCCTTACATTTCACTTTACAGTTTTTTGTTTTGTTTTGGTTTGGTTTGGTTTTTTTGTTTGTTTGTTTTGGCGGGGGGCGGGGGTGGCGAGTGGGGTGGGAATGTAGTCTAACTCTGTAGCCCAGGCTGGAGTGCAGTGGCGCAATCTCAGCTTACTGCAACCTTCGCCTCCCGAGTTCAAGCGATTCTCCTGCTTCGGCATCCCAAGTAGCTGGGATTACAGGTGCCTGCCACCATGCCCAGCTAATTTTTTGTGTTTTTTTAGTAGAGACAGGGTTTCACCATGTTGGTCAGGCTGGTCTCGAACTCCTGGCCTCAGGTGATCCACCCACCTCGGCCTCCCAAAGTGTTGGGATTACAGGCGTGAGCCATCGTGCCCAGCACTTTTCAGTAATGTTATACACACTTGTATACATTGCTATTATTTTATTTAAAACAAGGGCCACAGGGCCAGCAAACTGAAACTGAATGCCTGTTCTTGAAAAAGAAGTTTTATTGAAACATAGCCTATCTACCTAGCTGCCTCTCTCTCTCTCTTACTCTCTATCTCTCTGTCTCTCTCCCCTTCCCGACCCCCCACCACCCTGTTTCATTCAGGGAGGTCAAGACTGTTACTTTTTTATTTATTTCTTCCATAAATTCGTGGAAACTAAGACTATACTGCCACATGGTAATGTATTTTTGCATGAAATGTTCTGAATGGTGCTGATCTGATATAGAAAGAAAGAGGTAAAAATGTTTGATCTTCACAGCCTGTGTTTTAAAAATAGGATGATTCCTAAGAACACATTTCACTTTCATAAAATTACAGCCCTGGAGAAATTGAAGGTTGTTGATTTTCTTAAATACAAATTTTAATGGGTTTGTTTGCCTGTTTTTTTCCGAGTAGAGTCTGTATTTGTGACTCAAAGTGCTATCATTAATATCATTTTTATCACCAATGGTAATTGTTTGAAAAGTAATTTTCCATTCATGTGATTTGGAAAGACTTGTTACCTTAGCAGATAGATGGCTTGGAATTGTATTTCCTGAGGAAAGTACGGTATAAATTTACAAAAATATGATTTAATTATAGAAATTAACTATAGACCTTTTTTCAGAAACACATTTTTTATTTAAAGATTGTATGCCCATTTTTTAATTGCTTCTGCAAATCTTTATAGTAAAAGAAGACTGATAGGTCTTTTTCCTATGAAATTTATTACTATCCTGTTCTCAACAGATTAACCATTAATGGGCATTATTTTTAACACCCTTCTCTGGTGAAAGAAATAAGGTATAAAATTTAGCAGATGTTTATAAAACTAGTAATTTCGTTTCATAAAAATGATACAAGAATTTTTTGCCGAGATAAATGGAAAAATGAATATTCTAAGGTACTTTTTTAAAATACAAAAGAATCTTCCGATTTGATAATATGTGTGATTTGCAGTTTTACTATTCTGCCTCCTATTCATCGATATTATTTCACATTACATTATCACATCTTTAACTTTATATTAAAAGTCTCAGAAGAATAAAATACAAAAGAAGTTGGATTGTATATTAGTTCAGGAAAAGCTGTTTAGTTTTGTGTTTATCCAGTTAATATTAATTTTTCACATGTAATGTATTTAATCATTCAGGTAATTATTAAATGTGAAGGTATATGTATGATACTTTCTCCATGGATTATAACCTTATATCCTACATATCAGCAATCTGCCATTCATTGATTACTTGCTATATTCACCTTTTCCTATCTGTCATTAATGTGAGATGCACATTAGTTTGTGTATCTTTTTTTTTAGTGTGATTCTGAGGACCCTTCAGCTTGAATTATATAGTTCTTCCATCTACAAATATGGCTGAAAGTTGAACTTGACATGGATCAATATGATCTGGGCTAAAATATCTAAATGTGACTGATTATGTTAGCATCATGTCCACAGATCAATATTGAGTTTTATTATGAGTCTGACTCTGTAATTGGGTATAATCAATAAACTTTTGTCTCTTTTCCTTTACAATTTTAAGATTATACTATATAGGTTTTAGAAACTACACTTAGCTTACATTTAGGACTCTGCTTTTCTTATGATGACCAGAAAGAGATCTATCTATGAATTTTAAGGAACAATGGAGCTTCCGTTTTACCATTGTGAGAAGAGTCCACTTTTGTCTTGATAACTGATTGCTTGCTCAATATGCGCGATGTTTCTAACAGACCTAATGTAATAACACCCCAGCACTCCTTTGGGGTAGTGTGTGGCTTTTTCTCTCTGTGCTTAGTAAATAACTCACATTGAAGACTTTGACAAAACATACCATTAATGAAAGCAATCATAAAAGCTTGCCTTTTGATAAACCCGCAGGGTCTACAGGCGTTGAAAGATGCAATCTGTAAAGAACAATAAATTTGGGCCTTTGATTGAAGTGCCATTTGGGACGTTATGCTTTGTCTGCATATTTGCACAAACATGATGCTCCCTTTTTTCATGTCTCTTAAACTTGAAGCTTGAGAGCGCTCATTGCCATTTTTACATTAAGGATGGTCCCATTAAAATCTCCCTACAAAAAGAAGACTGGAAGTGATCCAGCTGAAGTGTGTTCGTTCAATTCTGCCCTAGTTTGCCATTTGGAAAGCAGACTTCTGGGCATCATTGCTGTTTTTTATGAATAGATCTTGGTTCTTTTCTAGTCAATTCTATCAGTAAATGGAGATTTAAAATACAACTTTTCTCAGCATTGGAAAATAAGATTATTCCTCTGATGGATATTAGATATAGCTTTGAATGGAAATGTAATTACTGCATTGTAAATGATTTGTAGATTTTTTGCTGTCATTTTTACTTAGGCTTCAAAAATTTTGCAATTTATGTAAATATGCTGAACTGTTGGCCTCATACTTCATATTTCAGGCTACTGATAAAAGGTAGTCTTCTGTTTGAGTCCTGCATTTTGTATTCTTCACAACCTGTATCTGTCCATCATTAAGCCTGAAAAGTAAATGTACTCTACATGCTTTCCTGAATTTACAGATGCAGATCGTTTTCAGAAACATGGTATGGATGAGTTTATTTCTGCAAACCCCTGCAAGCTTGATCATGCCTTCCTTTTTAGAATACTCCAGAGGCAGACTTTGGATCACAGACTGAATGATTCCTATTCTTGCTTGGTGAGTACAAGTCTGTCTATCTAGTCCCCTATAAGTTGGAATAAAAGATTTTAGAAAGTGAGAAATAATTGTTATAAACCAGCATTTTATTCCTGACTCATTTAATAATGGTAGTTGGAGTGAGGGATAAAGGATTCCAATCAATTGCTTCCCAATTTAAAAATTATACACTTGAAGACCACTGCTGTGCCACTCAATAGACAGGAGAATAGACTCAAATAGATGCTAAACTGTGGTTTATCAGTCCCTTTAAAGAAGGCTCAGTGAAAATAGAAGGCTTTTAATAAAGATTTTTTAAAACCTCTGTTATAGTACTTACAGACATTTTAAGGTTGGAGTTCTGTTCCCCAGATGTTGACACCTCACATTTCTCTCTTTTGTTCTTAGAAGGACAACCTAAGTGGCAGGGGAAAGAGTGGAATTAACATGACAGGAGCTATACATAACAAAAGGAAAGTTTTAGTTTCATCTAGCCGTCCAAAGTATAACTTGAATTCCTTGACAAAAGGAAATGAGTGAATTAAATTGAGTAAACTGTTTCCTGGTATGTGTTGAAATTGTAGCCAAAATTTGGGATATAAAGTATAATTTATTTAAAAGGAATGCTTGACACCTCAGAATATGGGGACTAAACTTTATAACCTAAAAATTATGTGTTTTTCCAAACATTTACATTGTGAATAGCAATTCCTCTGAAATTTTTGCAGCCAGAAAATGCGTATTTCTATCACCACTTTAATCTCTTGGACACTGAACATAGTACAGGTTGAATATCCCTTATCCAAAATGCTTGGGACCAGAGTGTTTCAAATATTGCATTTTCTTCAGATTTTGGAATATTTGCATTATATGTACAATGTAAGCATCCTTAATCCAAAAATCCAAAATCAGTTTCCTTTGCGCATTGTTAAAAGAAAAACCTTAGCCTAATTAAGTTTAACAGAGTTTAATTAGGCAAAGAAGAATTCATGAATCAGGCAGCCTCCTCAGCCAGAGTAGGCTCAGAGACTCCGGCACAGACATGTGGTGGAAAATGTTTTATAGACAGAAAAGGAAAGTGATGTACAGAAAACAGAAGTAAGGTACAGAAACAGCCATATTGGTTACAGCTCAACATTTACCTGATTTGAACACAGTTTGAACAGTTGGCCACCTTTGATGGGTCAAAACTCAGTGATTGGCACAATAGTAGACTACAGTGTACTTACAACTCCATTTGGTTTATAATTCACGATGTATAGAGAAACCTTTAGGCTGAACTTAAAATATGTAAGGAGGCAGCTTTAGGCTAAACTTGATTTAACAGGATCATGTAGATGCTCAAATATTTTGGATTTTGGAGCTTTCCAGATCTGGGACTTTTGGATTTGGGATGCTCAACCTGAAACTTCATGTAATAAAGTTACATTCTGTTTAAGATTTCAGACAAAATGCCACCCCTCGTTGGAGATACTTCAGAGAGGAAGAAGTGAAACAACTTTTTGCCACACTGACACTAACAGTTCATTAATTCATTTATAGATTGTTTATTAAGTATAATTTGAACCTGATCCAACTCAAACTTTACAATCATGTGGAGAGTAAAACATATCATCTCAAAATCCTAGTCCAACTTTTCATGGACAAACACGTAGAGTGAACATCAATAAGGGATAGTGCCCTCTTGGATTCCACTCAAACACATTATTCAATTATCAAAAGCTGTTTTGATTTTGTTGATGACCCCTAGTGTAATATGGAGTCTGAGGAGAATGCTACAAGGTCTTCCACTGCACCTAGAGGGGAGTGAGTGTGATTTGCTTAGAAAGTGTTTTGGAGGCAAATGACTGAATACAAATCATGACTCAACAACTGATTTGCAGTGTGGTCTTGGACAATTCACTTAACATCCCTGAGCTTTAGCTTATTTATCTGCAACCCGGAAACCATGTAACTACCACGCATGATGGTTCTTCTCTTACTCCTTTTCTTTTCTTCCTCCTTTCCTTTATTGCCTTCTCACCTTTTTCTCATTATTCTTTTCTTTCTCTTACATGATTACCCTGCCCCCTTTTAAAACTCTCTATACTCCCTTCTTTTCTTTTACTATCTTAATCTATATAAATCCACATAATTTATCAAGATATTTTATAAGCCAGCTCCACCTGACGCTGCCCTCCAGGTTTAGCCACATAAACTGCCTGCTGTGTTCAGGTGGCATGCATGCACACACATACATTCTAACATCTCATTTCAGGAGGAACAGAAGCTGCTAATATAAAGCATTAACTCTGTTACATTGTTCATAGGAAGACAAACAGAATGAGAAAAATATCCCAGATATTTAAGTTCCCAAATAGTACATGTATACTGCTGCTAAACTTGACATTTTCTTTCAGTTCACTTTATAAAACTTTTCCTGAACAAGAAATTTCATCTATAATGTCGTCTTCCTTCTCTTTTTAATTGATTCGTAAAGAGACTGAATTTTTTGGAGTAACACTCTTTGTGTGTGATAATTTAGATCCTATGAATAAATTTGACTAATTTTGAGTGACAGTGGAGAAGCACAAGTTACCCATGCCTTGCTGTGACAGTAAAGAGAGAATAGCATTAGGTTGCCAGTGTCCCAAATCAGTTTCAAAATTGATGACATTAGCTCTTCATGAAACATACCACTAATAAAATAAATGTCAAGATACTTTCATGCAGCTTCTGCTTATAAGGCCTAAAAGTGCCTTCAGGAAAGCAAATAATAGTATAGAAAGGAAAAACATATCTATGTATCTTTTTTTATTTTGCAGGGATGGTTTAGCCCTGGCCAAGTCTTTGTGTTAGATGAGTACTGTGCCCGTTATGGTGTGAGAGGTTGTCACAGACATCTCTGCTACCTTACAGAACTGATGGAACATTCAGAAAATGGTGCTGTCATTGACCCTACCCTGCTCCATTACAGCTTTGCATTCTGTGCCTCTCATGTGCACGGCAACAGGTATTTTTACTTGCAAATACAGAGTGAAATGTATGGGGTTGACTATGGAAAAGAGAGAAAAATGTGCTTTGCCATTATTACCTAGTAACAGATTTTAAATAGCAAACACTTCTTAAAAGGAAAAAAAAAAAAAAAAAGACAGAAAAAAATGTGCATCAATATGCTGTTGATTTAGGTGGGCTACACTTCATGTTTCTTTTTGCTGGTAAAGCCACTTGAAAGAGAGAGAGAAAAATATATCTGTGAGATTAGAATCTGCCTTTTATTTCTTATATACCACCTAGTAGTAGGTCTGAACAGCCTTAAGTATCCCTATGATTCCTGTTGTAATGCATATATGTGCCTGGGTAGGATATGTTCATAGGTCTGTATGTAACTAATGATCATTGCTTTTCCTCTGTAGAATAAATTTTCACTGATAAAACAAGATAAATAATGGGGTTTATGTAGAGTCTCTTCTCAGCCCCTTCCCTAATCCACACTTTAGGAACAAGTACTCTTGTTTTACCAAGATGCCAAAAAAATGCCTAATGTTGGCCTCCACAGCTATCTATCTCCGGGCTTAAAAATCTGTCCATATCATTCCACATGGTGGCTTACGCCTGTAATCTTAGCACTGTGAGACGCCAGGGAGGGTGGATCACCTGAGGCCAGGAGTTCATGACCAGCCTGGCCAACTGAGTGAAACCTCTTCTCTATTTAAAAAAAAAAAAAAAAAAAATAGCTGGGCTTGGTGGTGCATGTCTGTAATCCCAGCTACTCAGGAGGTTGAGGTATGAGAATCGCTTGAACCCGGGAGGCAGAGGTTGCAGTGAGCCAAGATCGTGCCACTGCACTCCAGCCTAGGTAACAGAACAGGCTCTGTCTTTAAAACTAAAAATAAAAATAAAAATAAAAAATAAATAAAAATCTGTCAATATCACTCCCCTTCTCTTAATCTTGCTCAGTACATATTTGATGAATGAATGAATGCCTTCATTATTTGTGTTAATATTTCTTCCATTAATGGCCCATTAACTTTTTATTCATCTTTTTCTTTTCCCTCCTATCCCCAATTTGTGAACATCAATATTCTCTTCCCATAGTGCCCCGTAACATTCTCTTTTTTACATTTCCATTGTTTATCCTAATTCTGGCCTTCATTTTTTTCTTGCCTATGTATCTGAATTTACCTCTTTATTACCTTTTTCTTTCTATAGTATTCTACTAATCAGTCAAAAAAATTACAGAATAACTTTTACCACACTCTTTTTCAAAAAGCTTAAGTGATTTTTGATTATTAAATTAAAAATAGATTCCAAGTGATAGCATCATTTTCCCATTACCATCCTGTTGCATCTACCCATTCTTATTTCCACAAAATTTTACCCCAGAAAACCTGTTTATTCTCCATGTTTTTCTTTTTTCCAGTTTTAAAAAGTCAGACATCACAAAACTCATCTTAGAATATTTCAATTAACTCATTCAGACACTAAGAACTTTATCCGTACTTATCTCGTTACCTTTGTCATATATACTTACGTGCTACCTTTGTGTACATGCACACACACACACACACACACTTGCTTCTGTTCTACTAGATCATATTTTAAAGGCAAAAATCAGTTCTCATTTATCTATTATCCTCCACATACCTAAAACAGTGTGTTGCATATTGTAAGTACACAATAAATATCTGTTGAAGTCCTCTGAAGTCCCCAGTGCTGCCATTTCTCAGCCTACAATAAAATAAGATTGATCCTTGTCTCACAGTCTACTCAGATTTTCACTTTATTTTGGAGTCCAGCCTTGATTTGGAATTAGGAGGATGTTACTGATTTTAGTAGTTTTTTTCCCACTATCTCACACTCAACCTTCTGCACTTAGAAAATGTGGGGGTACAGGTCTCAGTCAGGGTGGCTAACTTGAGAGGAGCTGTTTTACTAAAACTGTCTCTTGTCTCGTGACTCTGTCTCAATTCCTTCTGACTAAGGGATATCTGACAAAGGTAATGAGATAAGTACAGATAAAAAGTTCTTAGTGTCTGAATGAGTTAATTCCAGCACTAGGCAGACCTCTGAAATGCAAGAGGATGAGAAGGTTTCAGTGAAACAGACAAACCCAAAGCAAATTGTATAATCAGAATATTTTATTCATCCACACAGAAAGGTAAAATTAAATTGGAAACATAAAGTGGGAAATTCAGCTAATGTGCCCCCAAAATATATGTGTTTGAGACACATTGTAATGGAAAGTTACTGAGGCAACAAGGAGCTACTGCTGCTGCCTGGGAGGCAGCCTGATTTGACTCTACTGGTTGCCATAGTTACTTTTATTCTGTAAAACTATTGTTTTCTTTATAATGATACTCTGTAGTGTGTAATTCAAGGTATGTTTATATGTTCATGCATATATTATCTTTAATATTGCACATGAAATCCACTTTCCCAAAGATTAAACTATGTACACATTCAGGTATCTCTGGTGGTGTTTTAGAATCAAAATTCCAATCAGTGTCTGATTCAGCGTTGAGGTGTCATGTAGCTTAAGAAGAAGAAGAAAGGAAGAAGTATAGGGTTGAGGGAAATTTGAACCTCAATTTAGGATAGAAATTATCCAAGATAAGCTGAAAGTTATGGTTTCCTGTGACATTTACAGTCCAACAGATGTCATTCAGAAATACTATGCTGCCACAGTGAAAGACCAGAAAGAGGCAAAAGATCTTCACTTGAATCCCAGCTCTGAAATTTGCAAACTGACCCATGTTCAACAAATCACTTAACCTTTCTGAAACTCAGTTATCATACATAAAAGGGGCAAATACTAATGTGAAGGTACTACATAATTATAAAATACTATCAGTATTAATTACTCTTACTATTCTAATATATTTTCCTTTGCCATTTAACCCAAGAGGGTGTAAATTGTGAGATGAAGAAAAATTTAAAAACTATGTAGTTAGGATTGTACCTCATTCTAAATAGAAATATTTCAATTTGTATATAATTATACTTCTAATTTCTTTGTTAATAGAACATTCAGGTTTTGGCAACCTCCCCTTGTGAGAATGTGCTTCTCTTATCCATGTCTGTAGCATCTGATATTTATACAGACTTTTGTTTAAAAATACTGTCAATGTCAAGTCTGACTTTTCTACAGTGTTTGCCATAGTCTTATTTTATGATCATTTTTACATCTGTCAAGACACATATTCAGAGAGTCGTTTTGCTCATTACCTGAACTACCTCTGTCATCAATTCAAAAGGAGAAAAGATTTCCTTTTGTTATTGACTGAAGTGAAGGACAACAGTGCTGTCTGGATTTGAAATTTTTCAGGGAGCACATCCTATTGCACAGTGTTGAGCTCTCTAGGTGTGTTCTCTCTGTACAGATACATCTCTGAATAGCACTCTGAGTGTTTCAGAAATAAAAGAATAGAGTTAAACAGAAAAGGTCTGGCTGGTACTAAGACTGAGGAAGAGAGAGAAAAAGAAAGGAAGAAAGAAAAAGTGAGTCAAGGACAGAAACAGACCCACTCATGCAGGATGATAGCCACACACATCTCTGAATAACACAACCACTCATTCAGCCATAGTGCTGCTGAGGACTGACAGGAAGGAGAAAAGAGGCTTTCAGAGACAATGCATCATAGGGCAAAGTTCTAGGTTGATATGTATGGTTATACATCTTGGTTTTGTAAGTCAGGCTGAGGGTGGAGAAACTGAAGCAGCAACACAAAATGGCTTTTATGTCCCAATTTAATGTAAGGCATACAATGTATTCACTGACTCCTCTACAGTTTTGTAGGGCCGTCTTAGAGCTGCTGCATGCCTGACAAAGGACAGCTCAGATGTGCTTGCTTTCAAGTACAGGGCACAAGAGTACAGCATAACTGTAGTTTTATATATAAAATAATCTCAATTTTCTGTGGATTCCAGATTATATCACAAAGTTGTAAGTAACCTTAATGGGCATCAGTCAAATCATCATATCATAATACCTCTGTCTTCACAGATGCTAACCTTTCCCCTTGACTGTCACTTCAGAAATTATGCCTCAAACTTCCCATCTGTAATTTTAGAGACAGTGATTCATTTTTTTTAGAAAAAACATAGATAATTGCATAAAATAGGATCATCAAAAGTGTTCACTTAATTCAAGTCTTGGATATGTGACTATATAGAAATTAAGTATACATGACACACATGTTGTAAATGGAGAGACTTACTTTTGGGGCAGGTGAGCAACCAGATGAAAGGTCATAAGCAAGGTTATCCTTAGGTAATGTACCGGATCTGACAGGTTTTATGCCATGTGCTAAAGGTGCAAAGGCAGAAGGGACGGGTTTGGGGGAGTATATTTCAAATATTACTAGAGGATTTTTTTTATTTTATCAAAAACTATAGATCAACCCTAAATCTACCTAAAGCAGACTTTCCTAGCAATATCGATACTCACCCAACCTCAAGTTCAGTACTGAAGCAAGATAATTGTGCCTTTCAGAACAAAACAAAACAGACAAAACCAGAGAAAAAGAAAAGGGGAAGAGAAAGACTCGGTGTGTTGGAAATATCTCTGAGTTAGGAATGAGAACATCTGTGTTCCCGTTCTGGCTCTTCTTTTTTTTTTTTTTTTGAGATGGAGTCTCGCTCTGTCGCCCGGGCTAGAGTGCAGTGGCCGGATCTCAGCTCACTGCAAGCTCCGCCTCCCGGGTTCACGCCATTCTCCTGCCTCAGCCTCCTGTGTAGCTGGGACTACAGGCGCCCACCACCACGCCCGGCTAGTTTTTTGTATTTTTTAGTAGAGACGGGGTTTCACCATGTTAGCCAGGATGGTCTTGATCTCCTGACCTCGTGATCCGCCCATCTCGGCCTCCCAAAGTGCTGGGATTACAGGCTTCTGGCTCTTCTACTGATGAACTACTTAACTTTGAGCAATTGGTTTTAATCTGTCTGAGCCTCAGTTTCTCCCTATGTACCTTGTGAGTAATAAAATTAATGCTACCTACTCAGTATGGTTCC